GGGCGCGAACGGGCCCGTGCAATACTCCCTGGCGTCGCCCTGTGGGGGTGCTGCAACCAGCGCCTCGCTTGAAACATTTTCGGGAACGGCTCCGAAACACAAAAACGGGGTTGAGCACCCAAGCAGGCAAATCGCCGGACAGATGGTTCCAGTCAGGGCGCGAACGGGCCCTTGAGATACCCCCTGGCGCCCCCCCGCTGGAAAAGCCTAAATCAGCGTTTCGCTTGCGACCTCTTCGGGGCCGTCCAGTGTGGGTGCGAACGGGCCAGTGCAATACTCCCTGGCCCCCCCCCCTTTGGGAGTGCTGAAGCCAACCCAGCGTCTCGCCAGAGACTTCATCACAACGTGCGTTTGAGTCTGAGCGCGGAAGTGGTGCGGCCGAGTTTGGGTGAGGAAGAGCGAGGCAGAGTATGAGTGAGTCTGGGTGTGAGTGAGTTTGAGTATGAGTCTAAGTGAGTGTGTGTGTGTGCGTGACTGACCTAAGTCTAAGTTTGCATTGAATCGGAACAGCGATTCGAAATGCGAGCGAGTCTGTACGTGAGTGATCCCGAGCATGAGGCACCTGAGTATCAATGGTATCAGAGCGAGCGCATCTGAGTATGAGTGAGTCTGAGTATGAGTGAGTCTACGTGTGAGCCAGCCAGAGAAAACATAATGACCTGAGGGTGGGAGGTAGGTTCCTTTTTGCGTTCTTGTTCCTTCCTGTGTTCCACGCGTTGTCAGTAATTACTCGACGCGGGTATCCCCATATGTGCATATCATAGTTATAGCAAGTTTCGGTAGAAGACATTGTCGTTTTCAATATCAAAGTGTCAGCGGATCCACGTGGAACACGTGGCCGAGAGAGACGCCGACGACTACGACGACTTTGGGTAATTACTCCCTCCTTCCGTCCTCCTCCTCCTCTTTGTCCTCCTCCTCTTTCTTCTTCTCTCCCTATCAACGCCTGTCAGGACAATCCACCCGTAAAGACGAGAACGCCCAGGAAATTCGAACAGAGCGAACAGCATTGGGAAACCTAGAGCAACGAAGCTCGAGCCAGGAGCCTCGAACCTCGATCTTCTGGCCTCGGCCAACCGAGTTGCCCGTTCGGCGGTGAGGACCCTCTTCCTCTTTCCACATCCGTCCTCCTCTTCCTCCTCCTCCCTCTCTTCCTCCTCCTCCGACGCCTCCTTCTTCCTCCGCCTTTTCCTGCTCATTTCTCTTCTCTATCCCCAGTTCTCAGTTCCCCCCAATACCCCCTGGCGCCCCCCCTTTGGGAGTGCTGAAGCCAGCGCCTCGCCTGAGACATCGGAAACTGCTCCGAAAGAGAAGAATGTGAAGCACCAAAACAGGCAAACCGCCTCTGACATCCCCCCAATCTGGGCGCGACCGGGCCCGTACAATCCCCCCTGGCGCCCCCCCCTTGGGAGTGCTGAAACCAGCCCCTCGCCTGAGATATCACCGGAAACTGCCCCGAAAGAGAAGGATGTTGAACACCCAAACAGGCACACCGCCTGACACATCCTCTCAATTTGGGCGCGAACGGGCCCGTGCAACACCCCCTGGCGCCCCCCCCTTGGGAGTGCTAAAACCAGCGCCTCGCCTGAGACATCCTCGGCGCTTTCTCCGAAAGAGAAGGAAGCTGAGCACCCAAACAGAAAACCGCCTGAGGCATCCTCCCAATCTGGGCGCGAACGGGCCCGTGCAATACCTCCTGGCGCCCCCTTTAGGGAGTGCTGAAACCAGCGCCTCGCCTGAGACTTCATCACAACGTGTGTTTGAGTCTGAGCGCGGAAGTGGTGTGGCTGAGTCTGAGTGAGGAAGAGCGAGGCAGAGTATGAGTGAGTCTCAGTGTGAGTGAGTCTGAGTATGAGTCTGAGTGAGTGCGATTGTGAGTGTGTGTGTGTGTGTTTGAGTGACCTAAGTATGATTAACCTTGAATATGAGAAGCGACTCGAAGTGCGAGTGAGTCTGTATATGAGTGATCCCGAGCATGAGAAACCTCAGTATCAGTAATCTCAGAGCGAGTGCATCTGAGTATGAGTGAGTCTGAATATGAGTGAGTCTACATGTGAGTGAGTCAGAGAAAGAATGAGGATGACCTGAGGGTGGGAGGTGTGTTCCTTCCTTCCGTCCTGTTCCTTCCTGTGTTCCGCGCGGTCTAAGTAAGAACAATAACCCCATCGTGGGATACGGGAGTAACACTTATTCATTGCGTGGAGCTCACCATATGTGCATCTATTTGAATGGACTGGGTGTGAGTGAGTCTGAGTATGAGTATGATGAGTACGAGTCTGAGCACAAGTGAGTCTGGGACATCCTCGCAATCTGCCCCCCCTGGGGTGCGAAAGCCAGTGAGTCTGAGTATGAGTATAGGGAGTCTGAGTCTAAGTTTGAATGGGTCTGAGTACGAGTGAGTTTGACTACGAGTGAATCTGAGGGTGGGTGGGTCTGAGTGTGAGTGATTCTGAGCGTGAGTAAATCTGAATGTGGGTGCGTCTGAGTATACTTATGATGGATATGAAACTGGGCCTGAAGGGGTCTGAGTACGAGTGAGTATGACTACCAATGAGTCTGAGGGTGGGTGGGTCTAAGTGTGAGTGAGTCTGAGTGTGCGTAAGTCTGGGTGTGAGTGAGTCTGAGTATGAGTATAGGGAGTCTGAGTCTAAGTTTGAATGGGTCTGAGCACGAGTGAGTTTGAGCATAAGTGAGTCTAGGACATCTTCGCAATCTGGGCCCTCTGGGAGTACGGAAATCAGCGCCTCGCCATAGACATCCTCATAATCTGCTTTGACAGCAGACGAGTCTGACCACCAAAACACGCACACCGCTTGAGGCATCCTCGACATCTGGCCCCCCTGGGGTGCGAAAACCATCGCCTCGCCTGAGACATCCTCAGAATCTGCTCCGAAAGCGGAGGATGTTGAGGACCAAAGCAGGCAAACCGCCTGAGACATCCCCGCCATTTGGGCGCGAACGGAGGCCGTGCAATACCCGTGGCGCCCCCCCCTTAGGAGCGCTAAAACCAGCAAGCCGCTCGAAACATCCTCATCATCTGCTCATCGTCATCAGCATCATCATCATCATCATCATCATCAGCATCATCACCATCATCATCATCATCATCATCAGTATCAGTATCATCATCATCATCATCGTCATCATCAACAACACCATCTTCAGCATCATCATCATCGTCATCATCAGCATCATCATCACCACCATACTCATCCATCATTCACCATCGCAATCTTACTCACATCATACTCTCACCATGGCATGGCCATCATCATGACAAGCATTATCATCATCATCATCATCATCATCATCATCATCATCATCATTATTATCATCATCATCACCATTGTCTAGTGCAGAGAGGGAGGAGGGGAGGGGTTCTCTTGGTCCGGCGCGGTCGGAGAATAACAATAACCCCATCCTTTGGATATGGGGAATCACCCATCTTAGGACATGGGGGATTATCCCCACCAGCCCATCCAGAGGCGATGCCCATGAGAGTTGACGGGGGGAAAGAGGAAGAGGCACGCATAGTCAAACAGCGAGGGAGGCTTGAGAGGCTCCGTGGCCATCTCGAGCCGTCTTGGAGAGGTCTTGGGGCCGCTTTGAGCATCTTGGGAACCATATTGAGCCAGCTTGGGCTATCTGAGCCATCTTGGAGGTCATCTTGGGGGCTCTGAGGCCGCTCGGGGGCCTCTTGGGTGCCTCTCGTGTGCCTCTTGGAGCCCTCTTGGGGCGCCCTTGGAGCCCGCTTGGGGCCTCGAGCGCCTCTTGGGGCCATCTTGGCGACGGTCGGTCAAAAGAGGAGGGTCCTCGATGTAGCTCTCCCCCTCGGGGGCCACGATCCTCTTAAGGGGTGTCAAAAATGGCCCTCCCAGGGGCCGAAAAAGGAAGCTCTGGCACATCGGGGCCCCTCCCAAAGAAGCTCAGGGAGGGGAGGGGGTGGTTCCCCTCCCCGAAGAGGGGTTGTGGAGGAGGAAAGAGACTCTCGTTAGACCACCTGTCGCCCAAAGGGCTGGTGGGATTTTTGTAAGACGAATGTGTGCGGCGCGAAGGCGAGAGCCACATTTTGAAAACGACCCGTCCTGGATCCGTGAAGCGCGCACGGTTTTGTAAGCCGAATGTGCGCGGCGGTAAGGCGAGAGTCAGATTCTGGAACCGACCCGTCCTCCATCTGTGAACCTTCTGCCAACTTTTTAGCTTCAGAAGCATACATTGCGTGCAAGTCTCCGGCGAAACGGCCGGCCCGCCCTTCCGATTGGCCTCGAGGTGCAACAGGGAGGAGTTATTTTCAAGGAAAAGGAATGGAGGATGACGAGGGCTGGAAAAGAAGTTGAGGGGCGGGGCCGTGGGTCACAGCTCTTTGGAGAACGCTTCCAGCCGCCAGCCGCCCCGCGTCCCCGGGACGAAAGGTGGGGCATCAGAGGTGAGGGTGAGCGACTAGAGCTATAGGGCCGCCGAGGCGACTAGCACTACAGGGCCGCTGATGCCGCCGGGGCCTCCTCAGGGAACCCCCCTGGGGGGGTCCCTGGGGGTGCGTCGGCCGTATCGGGAACCCTCTTCCTGCCCTCTCCCGCCCCCCTCCGTCGTGCCTGCTGCTCCCCCTGGCTCCTCATCCTCCGCTTTCTCGCTCCTCCTCCTCCTCCTCCTCCTCCTCCCATCTCTGCCCTTCTTTCTGTTCCTCCTGTTGCTCCTGCTCGAGCCGCCCTTCCGTCGATCTCCCTTTCCTCAGGGGCCGCCCGCTTTTCTGGCCGCGGTGTTGCCCACGTTCGCACCCCCCGCACTCCCACCAGCGATGCTCCGCTGCTGGTAGAAGTGGGGGGGGGCGGGCGAGGGCCCGAGTCCAGCTCGAACAGAACGGTCCGCAGTTCGAGCTCGAGCTCGAGGGGAAGGAGGATGCACTGGCCAGCAGGATCCGGACGAGGAGAAGGGGGGAGCAAGAGCAGGAGGAGCAGCGGGCGAACGAAGGTGACAAGCGGGGGGGGGGGGGCAGGTGCACGATGCCTACCGCGACCGTCGGTGCCGTGGGGAGCCGGCAGGGGCCGTGGGCCGACGGAGATAAGGCCGCAGGGGGGGCCGCCCGCTCTCTTGCAGCGTGCCGTCGGCTCGTGGGCTGGCAGCGGTGCGGGCAAGATTTGTAGCCATGTCGGTTGCGTCGTGGTTTCCTCTGGGAAGAAGCGCCCAAAGGCCGAGGCGCAGTGGGCCACGTTCTTGTACATATCCGCTGCGCCTCGGTGTCTGGGCAAAGGATCCGGAACATCCAAGATGCACCGGATATGTATATACATTTTGCCCGCAAGCGGAGGCAGGGGTCGCCGCCGTCACAATTCACCGTCCGTCGCCAGCACCAACCCGGGTTCCACATTGATCCGGTCGATCCAGTTCGATCTAGTTTTTTGCTGGCCATGTCGATCCGATGTGGTTCCTACTTCCCCGATCCGATGCGGCCGGATGTTTGTATGGCGCTGTGGTGCACCCTGGCGCAGCCGATCCGATTCGATGTCAATTCCGTCCTGATGCAGCCCGATCAGACGCGCATTCCGGTTCGATACGATTTACCGATGCGATGTTGTCTGATTTTGCTAACCTCCACTCACCCACGACCAAGGGTCACCGACAACCCACCACGCACCACCACCACCACTATTTCGTTCAACACGTGTGCGGTGCTATCACTCTTCTGCCAGGCGTCGCTCTTCTGTCGGTCGCCCATGCCGCTGTGAATGGCAGCAGCGTGGCGTTCTCTCAAAGTGCCTGAAGGTCCCCAGTGACCCAGGCTGACTCAGGGAGACTTCGGAGGTCGCTTGAGGCGTATGGAGGCTGACGGAGGCCCAGAACGGACAAACCAATTTGGTCCCCGATGCGAATTACGACAATTCCATACCCGTAGTGTTCCTTCTGGGGTGCAGCGACGCGCGACAGAACCCATCATTTCTTGGCGCCGGATCGCCCCCCCCCCTCCGGCCAGGCTGCCCGCTCAGCGACGCGGCAGCCCGATCGGAGGCAGCAGCGTGACCAGAGCTGCGCAGATGATTACCGCACTGACCAGCCCGCCAACCCATCGCCCGATGGTGTGGACGACATGTTGTTTCGCCAGCGGGGGCTTTGTGCATAGTGCTGCGGTCTGCGACATTCTTGAGCTATGGTTGTCTTGCCGCCGTGACCAGCAGCAACCAAGACATCGCCGTCCTTTTCCGCCGTCGGACGGCTCCTGCTCCCTCGGTGCTCTTCGGCGGTTCCCCGCCTTTCTGCCCGCCACCGTGTCCTCCATTGTTCGCCTTGTCCAACGCCATTCGCTCAGTGCCGCATCCTCGCCCTCAGTTCGTCGCTGTGACCTTCACGATATTTGTGCGCAGGTTAACTACTGGAGCGCCAGCGTGAATCAGTGGCTCATCGCCAAGATCACAAAAGTGAACGCTGATGGCGGGCATGGGGCTAGGGACCTGGGGCATCCTCGGAAGTGTACCAGAGTAGGACCAGGCGCCGGTGGCTTCCCTGCGCACGCGTGTGTGTGTGTGTGTGTGTGTGTATGCGTGTGTGTGTGTGTGTCTGTGTGTGTGTGTGTGCGTGCGTGCGTGCGTGCGTGCTTGCGTGCGTGTGTGTGTGTGTGTGTGTGTGTGTTGTGTCTATGTGTTGGCGACTCGGAGCACAGCGGCGCACATAAGTAACATTTGCATCCACGTCTAGACACAATCACCGATATACGTATGTAAAGATAAGCATCGAGTGTGGAAAAGGTCTTGTTCAGACGGGAGGATTTGGCACACGAGGTCAATTGGTTATTTGAATGGTTCTGCGGGCGGGTGAGGCTCCTATGACCTGAATTGCAAGAAAAAGGTTCCTGGAGACAAGATATACCCGTTAGGCATGGCGTTTCAGTATTCTCTGATGTATGCCTTGGTTCATGTGAATTGTGCGTGGTCAGAAGTGGGAGCACTCGCATTGGATGGTGTTTCTGATGGTAGCATTGTTGCATGGGTATTTAGGGGAGATGGTTTATGGTTTGTTGATGTCTGTCGCGCACTACTTTTGGGAAAGGCAGCCGTGCGAAATGTGATTGTCCAAAGCTTGCGGGGTTCGCTGTCTCCCCCTGAATTCCTCTTCGCGCGTAGATCCCAATGGCACTCGGACAGCTCAATCTGCCACTTCCTCGGGACTTGCCGTCCTTCATCACTGACCGCCCGTGCCCTCAATCCTGACCCCCCTCCCTTTCGCCTCCCAATTCCACCAGAACCCCGACGTGAGGGATACTCGGCCACTCACCGCCCATCGCTGGCGGCACCCTGGGTCTCCACGAGACGGGACTTGGGAGAAGGCATGGTCGCTCCCCCCCCCACTTCTCCTTCGTCGTGAAGTGGCGGCGCGCACAGGGGGTTAGGCGCGCTCTAGGAAGGGAAGCCTGGCTGGCTGCTGAGAACTTACTCAGAACCGCCCTACAGTTGAGGTTGATTAGTAGGTCGACCTTGCCAAATCAAGGGTACCCTCGTGTCCTGTGTTTCGCGACCCATGCCTTCTACATTCATAAGACAATGTTGCCCTCGGAAGGGAGGGTATTTTGTCCTCTCGCGTGTCCTCTCCAATCAACCCCGACTGAAGGCTATTCTCAGAAACCCTTTCTTTCTAAGAGGCCGCACCGCCGCCTCCGCCCCCTCGCCCCTCCCCCCCTGTGCACGGCGCGAAACTTCCCCCCTCCCCTTCGGGCGCCAACCCTTCCCCCCTCCCCTTCGCCACGGAGTAGACGGGTCCTGAAGGAAGCGGGTCTCCCTTCGGTGCGAGTGGTGTGCAGATAGCACGTGTTCGCCATTTGCATGTGTGACCCTTTGAGATCGCTCCGGCGAGGCCAGAAAGGCAAGCCAGCCGACCTAGAGCAACCCGATGGGGCCGCAACAAAAGAGGAGGGGAAGGAAAAGGCAATAGATACAGACGAGAAAAAGGATAAGGCCAAAGAGAAGGATAAAGTCAAGGAGGACAAAAAGGACAAGAAAGACAAGAAAAAGAAAAAAGATAAAGATGCGAGGAAGGAGAAGAAGGATAAGGCCGAGGACGACGAGCCCAAGAAGAGCTCCAAGAAGGGTGGGCCGCCCCCGATGACCGCTCCTAAAGCGAAGGCCTCGAGGAAGCAGGAACAAGAAGAATCCCGCCTGCAGGAGCGGTGTTCCCTTGCCACATTCCTTTTGCAACTGGCACAGAAGGTTGATTTTGTGAAGGACGAGGGGTGGGACGAACAGGAATAGGAGCAGGAGGACTAGGACCAGTATGTAGAGCAGAAGGGGAGAGAGTCGGGAACAGGAGGAGAAGTCAGCGAGGAGACGTTTCGGCGGAGCAGGTGGGGGCAGGGTGGCTCGACATAAGCCCCAGCGTCACCCGCCATGATTTTACATTTCCTCGTCCTCGAATGACGGCGATGCATCTGATCTACATCAATAGCCTGGTCAACTAAACACTTGACGCTTGTCGTATCCCGCCAGCCCATCCAGCACCGATGATGAGGAGTGCTCCCTTAATCAGGGACATCTAGGGTCAAGCAGTGGAACACAGAGATGGGGGGCAGTCGTCAAATCGAAGCTCGAGATCAGCCTGGGCAGACCCTAGAGTCAACTATAAATGCGTTCGCAGATCTTGAACTATGGGAGCAGCTTGGCTCCCGATCTGGGCCATCTTGGGGACAGATTCCCAGCAACCCAAAGGGGCGGATTCCATTTCAGGTCCCCCCATCGGCGCCCGACAAGTCGCCTTTTGAGGCCATGGTAGGCCCTCTTGTAGCGCTTTGCGGGGCCTTCGGAGCCGAATCGAAGTCTTCTTGAGTCTCTCTTTGAGTTCTCGTGGGGCATCTTGGATCAATCTTGAGAGTCAAGTGGCCCATCGAAAGCGACAAGCCACTAAGGCGAACAACATGAGAACAGTGTACGGTGGTGGCCTCTCAGGTGTCCCCTCGATATGCACCGTGGCCACTTGCAGCCGTCTTGGGGCGGTGTTGAGGCATTTTTGGAGGCATGTTGGAAGCCATCCTGGGCTATGTTGTGCCATCCTGGGTTGTAGGAATCCCTCATGGAGCCAACTTCGTCGTCGGTGTCGTCGTCGTCGTCGTCGTCGTTGTCGTCCGTCGTCGTCGTCGGCGTCGGCGTCGTCATCTTCCGTCGTCAGTCGTCAGTGGTACGTCGCCCGTCGTCCGTCGTCGTCATCGTCGTCGGTCGTCGGTCGTAGAGAGTCGTCGGTCGTCGTCGTCGGTCGTCGTCGGTCGTCGTCCGTCGTCGTCATCGTCGTCGTCGTCGTGGCCGTTTCCGCCCCCGTCGGACGTCGTCGTCGTCGTCGTCGTCGGTCGTCGTCGTCGTCGTCCGTCGTCTTCCGTCGTCCGTCGTCCGGCGTCTGTCGTCCGTCGTTTGTTGTCCGTCGTCCGTCGTCCGTTGTCCGTGGTCCGTCGTCGTCGTCGTAGTCATCGTCGTCGTCGTTGTCGTCGTCGTCGTCGTTGTCGTCGTCGTGGGTCGTCGGTCGTCGGTCGTCGGTCGTTGGTCGTCGTCAGCTTTGTCGTCGGCGTCGTCGTCGTCGTGGCCGTTCCCGCCCCCGTCGGTCGTCGTCGTCGTCGTGGCCGTCTCCGCCCCCGGGGAGCCCACTGTCGACGCCCACCTCGCCCCGAGGAGCCCAAGGAGGACACAGACGAGGAAGAGCCCGAGCCGACGCCCGCGGTATCGGAGGACACCCCCGCGGCCGAGCCAGCGGCGCGCCCGCCCCCCTCCGCCGGCGCTGACACCAAGCGGGTGCACAGGGCGAAGAGGCTCGGCTTTGGAGCCGGTGGGGGTTCCAGCGAGCAGGAGGGGGGTGGGGCGAGGGTCGAGGTTCTGGGCTCGAGAAGTTGTTTGCTTTTTTCGGTCTCCCAGGGCCGTCTCCGGGCCCTGGGACCGTCGAAAACGGATTTTGGGGCGACATATTGCTAAGGCCTTGCGGCCGGTGCCGCCGACCCTGAAGACGACGACGACGACGACGACGAATACGAATACGAATACGAATACGAATACGAATGCGAATACGAATACGAATACGAATACGAATGCGAATGCGAATACGAGGAGGAGGAGGAGGAGGACGAGGAGGAGGAGGAGGAGGGGGAATTAAGGTGGAGGGGGGCAGGAGAAGGCGAAGGAGATGTTCCAAATGTGGGCCGAGGGAGTCGTAGCAGAGACAGACAGGGAGCCTTGTGGCCTGCGACCCTTCCCGCCACCGTGCTGCGGTTTTGGTCTCTTGGGGCCCCTTGAGGGCCTCTTGGGGGTCTCTTGCGGGCCTCTTCGGGCCCCTTGAGGGGCTCTTGGGGCCTTCGGGGGTTTCTTGGGGCGGGAAGCTCGAAATGTCGGTTCGTGGTCCTCTTCTTTGGCCTGCTTGGGGCCCTCTTGGCGCGTCTTGGCGCTTTGGGGGGCTCTGGGACGCCCAGGGGCGTATGCGTATCTGAGACACCCCCCCCCGGGACCCCCCCCCCTCGGCGGGGGACGGATCAAAAGGAAGGAGCTTCCCTTCGACTTGAGTACGACGTTGCTACGGTTTTCTCTCGCTGGCAGACTTGAAGAGGAGGGTGCAGGGAAAGGGGACGACGGAGACGCAGGGAAAGAGGACAACGGATGCGTCGACTGCGCGCACGTCGACAGGGAGCCACACGCCGGCAGGTTCGGCGGATTTCACCAGGTGGACCTTGGGAGAGTCCGGGGACAGATGCTGAGCGGATTTTTGGCCTTCTCCCCCTCCTGGCCGAATCTCTGGGGTTCCAACCAGGTCAGAGCCCCTGGTCGCCTCCTAGCTGGGCTGGCCTTCTGGGGGCTGGGTTCGGGGGGAGTGGCCTTCGAGAACCAGGGTCGCAAGTGTTTTTTCGCCCCCAGCCCCCGACTATCCCACGAAGAAGCAAGCCACTCAGGAGAGGAGGGAGAGTCGTGGATACAACTCCAGTGGGCTACTATCAGGACGCATCCCGATCGAGAATGCACGTTCCGCTATCGTATATCCCCGGGTTGGACCCCCAATCTTCGGTTCATTCGAAAACCCAATGAAAACGGGGATGGGGGTCGACATATCCCTTGTTTCAAGGAGTGGCATGGACATCTATTTTCGAAGGTCCGCGCGGATTCCACGTGTCGGCGCTGGACCCCCTCCCGATACCCTGTGCCTCGTCTCTGGCTCGTTCCACGGCGACGGCCACCTTGAGCGATAACCCTACGTAGTTGGAAATGGAACCGCCCTCCCCCGATGTTTAATAACTTTTCGGATTTCAGGTCTCAAGCGAGAGCCTCAGTGTGAAAAGGAAACGCTTTCAATTCTTGTGACTGTGCAGAATGATCGGGGCGAGTGCTCGCCTCGCTAAGACCCCGCTTTGAACAGGAGCCATCGTCCATCTTTCTCGCTGTTGGAAAGTTTGAATACGACTGTGCGTGGCGCAGCGGCGGGAGCCACATCTTCAAACGTTTCGCCATGCATCTTTGCAACTTCTTGGGGTTTGTAAGACGATTGCATGCTGCGCTAGGGCGACAACCACGGTTTGAAAACGACCCGCCTTCAATCCGTGTAATTGTTGGTCACCGCCATCCGTATACTCTAGCCTGCCCCGGTCTTGGGCAGGGCTGGGCTGGGCATGTTGGGCTGACAGGGAAGTGGGGGGGAGCGTCCGCGCGCCGCCGATCAGGAGCGAGCGAAAAGAGCGCGCGGCGTTGCGTCGACCCCCCATCAAGGCGCAATGCCAAGCGCTTCACTTCCTTTTCCCATTCTCCCAATGTGGGAGCGCGCTGGCACGTGATGCGCGCAAAAGCACGCGTTGGGAGCGGAGGCCGCACAAGACGCGCCCCCGGCCACGGCCGGAGGGGACGGAGCAAGGGCTACCCCCAAACAGTGCCTGCACCCGCGAGAGGTCCTTGTGGCCCGCGCCGACCGAGGCGACCTTGCCGCTTGGACGTGCTGGCGCAGGCCGCTTGGGACCAAACAAATAGCAAACACTCTTTCTGGTCCGGCGCGGAGGATGACAGCGCGGGCCCGTTGGGGCGCGAATATAACAGCGCGGAAATAACAGTGCGACTGAGGGCATCCAAGGAAGATGCGAGTAGTTAGGCTGGCGCGAAAAATGCGCGGGCGTGGCCCCGGGTGGCAAGCGAGGCCACGTAGCTGCCAACTTTTGCTTGCTCCCCGCAGACTGGCGCCATGTGGGCCCAAGGCAAATTGCCCACAGCACAGATGAACACGGAGAGACCAGCTCTCCATCGCCTTGGGCTCCCAGCGCTCAGCGTGCTCGGGCGAGCCTGGCTGCCTGCGCTACTAAGCGGGGCAAGATTTGTCGAGGGCCAGCCGAGCGGACGCGTTGTGCCCTGCGTGGTTCACGAATTCCGTCGCGATCAAGGGCCCCTGAGCCGGCCGCCCCTGGGGGCACGTCCGGGCCCGCTACGGGATGCCAGCGGTGAGACGGCGCGCAGCGAAGACGCTGGACGACAGGAGGCAGCGCCGGCCCCGCGCGTTCGACAGCGGCGAAAAGGGCTCGGGCGAGCGGACATGGGGGATCCTGCTCGCGAAAGTCGGAGGAACCACGAGGGGGCTTCTGGAGCGCTCGGGCTCGAGGTACGCGCGGCAACATCTGGCAGCGGCGCTGGGGCGCCGATCGCATCGGGCGGTGAATTTGCGCGCCAAACATGCGATGCAGTTTCTCCAGCGGCGGGGAGCCAACCAAGGAGCGCGGGGCCCGCAAGGCGTGCGCCAGCAGAGGCGGAACACATCATTCGCAATGTGCATTTCTTGGTGGATACGGGCGCCAAGGCAGCGGCGCTGGCGGCGCGCGTGGCGTCGTTGAGGTACCTAAACAAATTCGCGGGGCTGGGGCCGATCATATTCGGGTTGGCGCTGGTCGCGCCCCGCGAAAGTGACGGCCCCAATCAGGGGGGGCGCCTATTCGGCGCAGGAGGCACTGCGGCTCAACGGCGCCCTGTCGCGAGATGGCGCAGGCGCGCTGACGCCGTTGCTGCGGGTCGCGCTGCGCACTGAGCGGCGCAAGCTCCACGCAGCGTTGAGAAACGACGGCGCCAGCTAGGACAGGCTGGGCTCGCTGCAATCCGCGGGGGGGGCGATTGGATTATGGCGCGGAACCGCCGACGAGACTAAGCCGCTGAGCAGGCGGCCGCCAGGGCGCGAGGAGGGGCGCCGCGGCGCGGCATTTCGGAGCCCCGACTGGGCGAGGAACGGGCTGGAGGATCTGCGGCGCGCGGCGTGGGAATCGATGCCCAGTGCGCGATGCCCTCGCCGGCAGCCAGGCGCAGCGGTGGCTCGAGAGTGGCGGGCGGCGATCAACCGCGCCTTACAGGCATTCGTTTTGCCGGCAGATCGCGCGCGGGGGATCGCCCTACATTCGGCGAAGAGGGCAATCTTTACGCGGGGGGGGGGCTCGCCGGTTCTGTCTCAGACAGAGAATGGGAAAGCCTGGGGCATCATCCATCGGCTGCCGCAGGGCGAACAGTCAAAGCATGCGACGCACAGGAACTGCGCAGTTCGGCCGCCAAGCGACACGATCTACTCGAGGAGATTGCAAGCGAAAAGGCCCAGACCGGACGAGCCCCCAGGCGCGCAATGGAAGGTGTCAGCGCTCGCGCGCTGGAAGATTCGCAGCGTTCGCAGCGCGCGCAGAAGAGCCCGCGAGGAGGGGCCTCCGCGGGAACGCGCCCAGCGCGGAGCAGCAGCGCGCAGTGGCCGAGGAGCGTCGTCCGCAGTGATTTTTTCTGCCTCGCCAGAGTCGCCCCGCGTCGAAATGGAAGATGCGCGCGCGCCGGCGAGCGCCAGAAACGGGCAGGGCCCGACCGACCTGGTGGGGCCGTCGGCGCAGGGCGCGCCCATGATTTGTACCGGCCGCGAGAATAGGGCGAGCGCGGCCGAGGATCTGGGCGACGGTCGGGGGGCAGTCGTTGCCGGCGCGCCTTGTTCCAATGCGCGGAATCCGTTCCATCGCGCCCGCGCGCCCACGGGGGGGGGGGATTTTCGGCGCCGCGCGCGCCAGGCCGCGGACTGTCGCGCATGATGCGCCACGCAGTGTAAATTTTACATGGGGGGCGCCCCTGCAAGGCCTGCGCCGCGCGGGCCGGCGGGTCGATCCGCCGCGCTAGCTCCGCGGACGGCGCAGAGAGCGCGGAGGTGGCAGCAAGCTGAGGAGAAAGAGTTCAGGAAGAACAGACTAGCGCGCGCGCGCAGTAGGCGCGCCCCAGTGCACGCACGCAGCAGAGCCTCGCCCTGGCACGGCGCACGTGTAGCTGGGGAATGCCGCGCGCCTGCGCCGGGGCCCGCGGCGCGGCGACGGGCCGCAGCAAGGCGCTGCCCGGCGGCGCACCCCCTCCTCCCCCCTGAAGAAACAAAGAAAATTTATTGGCGTTGCCAAAGCACTGGCGACTTGCGGGGCCGAGAGCGGGCCCGAGGAAAGTTTGCCGGGGGGGCTTGCGCCCCCGAGATCGCAGCGAGCGCAATGGGTGGCGATGCTAGGGCTGGGCGCGCACGCGCGTAGCGCGCTTGGGCAGGCAATGCGGACTGGCGCGCAGCCCCGAGACCGAAAGGGCAGACGTCGCGCGGCGCTGCGCTCGGGCGCGAGAAGGAGAGAGGGAGAGGGAGAGGGGAGAGGGAGGGGGGGGGAGGGGGGAGGGAGAGGGAGGGGGGGGGAGAGAGAGAGAGAGAGAGAGAGAGAGAGAGAGAGAGAGAGAGAGAGAGAGAGAGAGAGAGAGAGAGAGAGAGAGAGAGGAGAGAGAGAGAGAGAGAGAGAGAGAGAGAGAGAGAGAGAGAGAGAGAGAGAGAGAGAGAGAGATGAGAGAGAGAGAGAGAGAGAGAGAGAGAGAGAGAGAGAGAGAGAGAGAGAGAGAGAGAGAGAGAGAGAGAGAGAGAGAGAGAGAGAGAGAGAGAGAGAGAGAGAGAGAGAGAGAGAGAGGAGAGAGAGAGAGAGAGAGAGAGAGAGAGAGAGAGAGAGAGAGAGAGAGAGAGAGAGAGAGAGAGAGAGAGAGAGAGAGAGAGAGAGAGAGAGAGAGAGAGAGAGAGAGAGAGAGAGACGGACAAGTAGGCGGACCAGGGTCCGTCCGCGAGGCGCACTGCGGTGCGACAACCCGCAAAACACTATTAGCGGCGGTGCAGCCTTAAGATACGAGGGCGGGCGACAGGCCCCCTCCCCCGGCGCAATGCGTCTGAAGTAAAAGACGGCGGACAGACCGTGAAGATCTCACCTGTCAGACCGCGTGAAGAAGAAGGCCCCAACGCAAGTGGCGACGTGAAGAACGTGGCTAAGGCGGCTTGGCGGACCGCCGGTTGGGCGCTTGGCCGCTGCGCGGCGCGCAGAGACGGGGCACCCCCCGCCCCCGCGCCCAGGCCCCGTGGACGCGGTGCCTCGCGGGCGCACGGGCTGGCGAAAAGAGAGAGAGAGAGAGAGAGAGTGAGAGAGAGAGAGAGAGAGAGAGAGAGAGAGAGAGAGAGAGAGAGAGAGAGAGAGAGAGAGAGAGAGAGAGAGAGAGAGAGAGAGAGAGAGAGAGAGAGAGAGAGAGAGAGAGAGAGAGAGAGAGAAAAAAAAAGAAAGAAAAAAGAAAGAAAGAGAGAAATATAGACAGAGAGAAAGAGAAAAAGAGAGAGAGAGAAGAGAGAGAAAGAGAGAGAGAGAGAAATAAAAAACACACACACATACACAACAAAATAACAACAAAAAGAAAAGAGAGATATAGAGAGAGAGAGAGAGAACAAATATTGAGAAATTGGAGTTCTGTGAGAGAGCGCCTGGCCGGCCCCCCGCCCCGCCCTTGCCTCCTGCAGCGCGGTCCGACATGACTCTGGCATGGGCAAGGCGAATGGTCGTGAGCATGCGATGACGGACCCTGACGCCCGAGGCCCACCCTGGAACGAGGGAGCACAGATAAGGCTTGCGTCGAGTCGCCAGCGCGAGACGCCGCGCATGGCAACTCGGCCAACCGCGGCGCCCTCTCGGGGCATCTGGACGGCGTCTCGCCGAGAAAGATGGAGAGCAGCCTGTCGGTTTGAGGCGCGGACAGATGCGCGGGGGGGCGCAGTGGCGATTCGGGCCCCAGTCTTCTGCGGGCTAGCGGGCTTTCCCGTTTTAAGCGCTGGGCCGCCGCGGCTTCCCGCGGGCCGAGCACGCGCGGCCAGCTTCGCGCAGTGGATGGGCGAACTCCCGCACGCGGCGCAGCGGCGCCTCCGGGGCGGCGGGTTCGACGACCCCAGCCCCGCGGCAGATGGCGCGCCCCCCCAGCGCGACGGAGGCCATGTAAAACAATAGGCGTGGAGCTTGCAGAGGCGACCCCGGCGACAGTCGAGGCGGTGAAACCCGGTGCGGTGGCGCGGGCCAAAGTGATCCAAGTCTACCACGAGCGCCGCAACGCGGCGGGGCCGGTGGCGCGCGCGGAGGCCTCGCCAATTGATGCGAAAGACGCGCGGGCAGGAGCAAATTTTCGAGTTCCAGCCCGAGCGCCGCAACCGACGCCTGCGCGAGCTGAACGAGGCCAGGCGACGCGACGTTGACGACTCGCGGATCCCGAGCATGAGAACGCGGGGCCGCTACGAGCGCCTGAAGAGGGGCAACGATGAGTTCGACCCCGCCCAGCCCGACAAGTTGCAGTCAGAGGCGGCCAGCAGGAAGAGGCCTGCGCCGGCAGGGATGGCGCCAGCAAGCGGCGGCGCGCCCGCGCGGAGGCCCCCAGCCATCGCCGAGCCGCCACCGACGACCATCCAGCAATGGGCACACGTCGTCGAGAATCTCGTAATTTCACGGGGTGGATCGCCGAACTGAAGAGCGCGGAAACATTCCACGAGCGCATCTGGCGGCGCGTCCGACGGCCAACGAGCCGCCGCCAGGCCATCGCGGCCTCAGCGCTGCAGAGCTACAGCACGCGTGCATGCTGTTCCAGAAGCATAATCCAAGGCCGCCAGGGCCAACGATACCTTGGGCGCGACGACCCTGGCGCCCCCGCCGCCGGATAGCGACGAGATGGATGGGGGGTTTGCGCTCGCGCCGCGCTTAGCGGGCGCTCCGCAGGAGGCCCCGGCGGGCGCCCCGCGAACGGACAGGCGCGGCTTTGAATGCGCGGCCGCCAGCGGCGCGGGCAATGACGGCAGGGGGGCCGCCGCGCAAAGCCATGGGCAGAGGGCGCTGGGGCGCTCGCGGCTTCGGCGGCCCCGCAGCGGGCGCAACCTACCAGCCGGCGGCGGCGCCGCCGCAATTCGCCGCGCAGCCGACGCGCGCCCTTCCCGCAATGGGCGGCCCCAAGGGTGGACCCGAGGGCAAGGGCAAGGGCGGCGGCAGCAGCCAGAAGAAGCAGCTGTGTAAGTACTGGGCAGAGAACAGGCAGTTCCCCAATGGGGAGAGCTGCTTTTTCCTTCATTACTGACCTTTAAAGGCGCAGGAAGAAAATGCAGTGGCGGCGCATTGCCGCCAATGCCGCGGCCTGATGAGTGGCCGTCGCGCGTGCCGGTCAGACTGGCATCAGCCTAGTCGACCTGGCAGCGTCTTTGTTAGATGAGGAAGTACACGCGCGCATAGATTGCGAAGATGCAGCCGAATTGGAGCCGCGCGATCCCAGGCAGGCGGATCGGCGACCCGCGCAGTGCGCGCAGCAGGACTGCGCCCCGTCGTCGGAGGTCAACGGCCAGCCCCGATAAGTGCCGCGCACCGGCAGGTGTAGGGGCGGCGCATCCGAATGCGCGCGCAGTCTCATCCCGGAGCAGCACGCCCAGGTACATTGGAACGCGGCAGCGTCGAAATCGCACGAGGCGCACCCGCTGAACCATCCTCCAGAGGTCCCAGAGGTCATCCTGAGCGCCCTGCAGTGGATGCGCGCCCGTGCTGTTTTCGAGGGATGGGCAGTGGCGCAGGTGCGGCTGCGGCAGCGAGTCGCGCGGCGGATGGAGCCTGCGCGAATGAAGTGGCGTGCGGGTTTGGCGCCCGATGTGGCGGCCGCGTTGCCGGCCCAACGCCGCGGCCCTCTGCGTGGCGAAATGCTCTGCGCCTCGGGGCGCCGGGGCTCGCAGCTGTGCGACGACGTGGGGCGAGGCTTTTCCATGTCGGGGATCCTATAAGATTCTCGTTGAAATTTGAGGCACTGGTGCCTGGGTTGCAGCCCGCGGCGCAAGACCTGGCGCGCGTGCTAGAGCGAGCCGCGGGACGGCGGAACGACACCTTGCGGGCGCTCGTGAGTAAAACCCGTGGACAGCCAGGCGCAGTGGAGGTCAGGCAGCAGCCGCTCGAGGGGGCCCGCAGCGGAGAAATGGCGGGCCCTTGGCGCGTCTACGTGGCTAGCGACAGGCCCCCGGTGCCCCCCTCGCGAAGCGGCCCCCCGCGCGGCGCTTCCCTCGCACTCGACGGCGCGAGGGGTCGAGCTTCGCAGCGCGCCCGATCGATGACCGTTCGGCGTCGGGCTTGAACCCTGCAGCGGCGGCGGCGGTAAAATGCGCATGGCAGAGTTGCGAGTGCTCTTAGACATCTGCCATCTCATGTCAAAGGAGTTTGCGGATTGGCACGACGGATTGGCACGGCGAGGGCGCGCCGGTTCTAGCTGAGGGGGGCTGCGAGATGGCTCGCCGCCAGCGGGCGGCGCCCCCGAGCACCAGTGCTGTGTAGTTGCACATGTCTGAGGCGAGGACCTCGGCCCGCGTGGCGGGTTTCTGGCGTTCGCCCACAGAGCCGTGGCTTTTGGGGCGCTCGCGGCCGTCTGGGGACATGGCCGGACCGCGGACGGCGTCTGCTATTTGCTGCGACACTTGTTCGCCGTGCCGCAGCTCGCGCGGGCGGGCGACTCTATGCGAGCAGCACCGCGCCAGCGCGCCGCTCTCGAACGGTGGATATTCAAGGAGGTCTACAAAATGCTCGGCACACGTCTCAAAGCCGAGAAGGACCAGGGCCCCGCGGCGCGCTTAGAACTCCAGGGCACGGAGATCGCCGCCACCCATCTGTGACTAGGGCTTCGTCTCACCCCCAAGCGGGGGGGAGACGGCCAGACCGCAGCGGGCACAGCGCTGCGGGGGGGGGGATCTCACGGCGCGGGAGGCTCAGCGTTTAGGCGGGCAGCTTTGCTTTGCGAGTGGCGCCTGCCGCGGCTGAGTAGGCCGCGCGTTCGCGCCTGTATTATCGCGACACCAGGGCGATTGGACTTCGCAGGTGGAGTGCGCGATGGGATGTTGGCAAGCCTTGCTGCGCGTACCTTTGAATGTGCATTGGCAACATGGGCGGCCGCGCAAGCGGGCCATGGCCTGGGTTGACGGCCCATGGGAAACAGAGACCGCCACGAGAGCAGTAGGTGCAGTGCTTTTGTTGTGGAAGGCGCGGGACAATGGAGCTTTCCGCAAGAAATACCAGCAGGGCTGCGTCAAGAATTGCTAAGGCTCGGCAAGGAGCAGCGCAGCACGCAGGCTGAACTGCTCGCGGTGCTGCTGCTTTTTTCTGGCAAAACCAGCGGTGCTTCGGGGGGGCCCTCCTGGTAATCTGGGAGGACAATGCGGCTGCGCTCCACAACATGTCATGTGTGTCCGCGCGGGACGCAAAGCCGCGAACTCGCGGCAGCGATCTCGATGATTGCCGCCGCCCTGCGCGTGCATGTTTGGATCAGATACGTGCCGTCCGAATCAAACAGCAGCGACCCCTTCTCACGCCCTGCCGAGGTCGCGGAACAACGCGAGGCCGCGGAGCTGGCGCACCTGTTCCAGCTGCGCACAGCTGAACCAGTGCTGCCTGCAAGCTCACACGCGAAACCAGCAGTGTGGGCCGCCGCAGTAGAGGCTGCAATCAAGCCAAGCGCGTGGCGCGATAGGGCAGCGCAAGCACAGCTGGCCGTCCATCTTGGTCACGGGGCAACCGGCGGGGCCACGCTCTGGCAGCTTTTCAAGAAAAAAAGCGTGACTTCCAGCTGCAGCGACGCAGGAGTCACTCTGGGATGGTTCACCACGAGGCGCAAGGGCTTCGATTGCGCCGCGACGCACTTTCACGCAGATTTAACACACTCGTACTCTGCGCGGCCTTCAGGCAGCAGTGCCCAAACCTGCGGTGCACTGGCATTGCATTAGAGAGGGGGCGCAGCAGCAAGCCACCCTGTGGAGTAGGCTGCCTTCTGGTCCGCCAGCGGCGAGCAGCAAGCACCCGTAGCGCAGCAGGCGGTCATGGCGGAGTTCTTTGAGGTCAGCGGCGCCGCGGGCCCCGGCGGCAGACGCGAAGCGGCGCAGGCGAAGCGCTGGTTCCCGATGTGAAAGAAGAAGCCGACCACAAAGCACGCGCGAGCACATGCAGCGCAGCGTGCGCGTCGTGAACGTTGCGTGGCGCGCGCAAGTGCGCGACGCGAGAGTGGCGCCATCGGTCGAGCTTGCGGGCAACCATTAGCGTGGTTGGACCGGCCAATGTCCGCGCGCGCATGCAAGTGCTGTGCGCATATCGTGAACGCTGAACCTTGACGCCCCCAAGAGCGCAACGCCACAGAAGCGCCAGTAGTATTGACTGCGGGCAACAGTAAGTGTGTTTGAGCCAGAAACCATACGGGTGGTTGGGCAAGCGCCCGTGTTCGCGCGCACATGCAGCACGGCGTGCCAATCGCGGGCGTAGTAGCGTCTGCCCGCGCGCGCGTGCGCATGCAGGACAGCGCGACCATCGCGAACATAGCAGTAACTGTGGACAACCAAATGTGTGGTTGAGCCTGACAACCGCAAGAGCGGTTTGGCAAGCGCCCGTGCGCGCGCGCGAATGCAGCGCGAGCATGCCCGTCGCGAGCGCTGCCTGGCGCGTGCAACGGCTTAGCGCCAGAGAAGCGGCAATGGTCGCGCCTGCGGGCAGCCGCCAGCGCGGTAGGGAAGTTCTGCCTGGCCGGGGGGCGAGACAATTGGCGTTGGGCCCGGCCGCGCAACGCGTGGCTGAGGGCCGGGCCCGCGTCGGGCCTCAGGCCCCCCCCCCCGCGTTCCTCGGGCGGCCGTCAGGCGGCGCCCCCCCGCGTTTGGCCGCAGTAAAAGCGCCCCGCGCGTCGGGGGGGTGCGGGGCACCCACTCCCTGTCGGCCTAGCGAGTCTAGCCTGCCCCGGCTTTGGGCAGGGCAGGTTTGGGCATGCTGGGCCGACGGGGGAGGGGGGGAAGCGCGCCCGCGCGCCGCCGCTCAGGGGCCAGCGAAGGGGCGCGCGGCGCTGCGTGGACCCCCCCGACGCAATGCCAAGCGCCTCACTTCCTTTCCCCCCGCCCGCCCTCACCAGGTAGAAGCATGGGGGAGTGCGCAGGTGCAGGGCGCGAAGGAGGAGGCGCCGCCGAGGCGGGCGGCCCCCGCGCGCGCAATTACTGCGAGCCGAATTGCCGCCTTGGTGGGCGGTTCCGCACGCGCGGGAAAGCCATGCAAATCATAGCGGCGTCACCGCATATGATTGGGAATGCTATAGGGATGCAAGTGCAGGCGGCATGGCCGCGGATGCGAAAACATGCGAATGCCAGCCCGAGCAGGTGGGCCAGGTGCCTGTTGACGAACGCTGATGCGAGGGCCACTGTCCTCCGCGGGGGCGGGGACTGAAGGCCGGGCCCGCGTTGGGCTTCGCCCCTCCTCCACCCCTTCCGCGCTCTTCGGGTGGCCGTTAGGCGTCGCTTCCCTGCGCTTGGCCGCAGTATAAGTGCCCCGCGCGTCGGGGGGGGGAGGGGGCCCCAGTCCCTGTCGGGTCAGCGGTGCGACGAGGCAGAGCTATTGAGGGAGAGGGGTGGAGGAGGGAGCGGAGGGCGAGGAGGAGGAGGAGTTGGGGGAAGAGGAGAGGGCAAGGGGCGAGGGGAGGGGGGGAAGGAGGGCGGGAGAGACAGGAAACGAGGGAGGGACACAAAATTTGCAGGGAGGGGACGAGGGGGGGTGAAGAAACCATAGGAAGTGGAAAACCACATACATACATCACATTTTGTTCATGTCTGCAGGCCTGCAACTTTTTCATGTATCCCAGGCACATGTGCGAGTATGTATATACATAAATCAGAGTGAGGGGCCGGTCATTCAATGTCCCCGGAATCCGTGGTGAGGATTCTGCTTGTTGTTGTCGTCGTCCCAGTCCCCGCGACCCACCCGCGACCCGCCCCGCGACGCGCCCCGCCACCCACCCCGCGACCCACCCCGCGACCCACCCGCGACCCACCCGCGACCCAACCGCGACCCATTCCGTGACCCGCCTGCGGCCCATCCGCGACCCACCCCGCGACCCACCCTGTGACCCACCCGCGACCCACCCCGCGACCCACCCCGCGATCCACCCCGCGACCCGCCCCGCGACCCGCCCCGCGACCCACCCCGTGACCCACCCCGTGACCCACCCCGCGACCCACCCGCGACCGACCCGCGACCCACCCGCGACCCACCCGCGATCTACCCCGCGATCCATCCACATTGTTTTAACGAGAAAGTCGGCGCCAGCGGCGGGTTCATCGCATAATTTGCAAAGGTTAGGCGCCTGCGGCGGGTTTCTTGGTGTCTGACCGCGGGTCCTTTCTTGAGCGTCCTGGAACCTCGTTCTGGGTGTTTTTCCGTTGTCAGGAAGAGTGGTGGTGTGCCCGAAAACCCCGCCGATTCTTGGGCACAGGGTCCATGGGTCACGCGCGCTTGGCGCATGTGCGCTTTGCTTGGAAGTTCGTATGGTTTGTACAACCATGCTTTTTGAAAATACGCCCTTTGCGGAACCCGCAGCCCGCTCCGAGGCCCATCCCCGATCTGGTCCGCGACCCACCCGCGACGCCCGCCAACCCGCCGAAGATTCATCCGCGACCTACCCGCACCGTTGTTTTGAAACGATCGGCGCTTGCGGCGAGCTCGTTGTGCTCAAAAGAATTGACGCCTTCGGTGGGTTTCATATACCATGTGGTCCCGAGCCCCACACAATTTCGACGATCCCTCCACCTCGTATGTCTTTCCCGCAGCTGCGTTGGCCATGGTACGCCTTCTCGGCCCTAGCAATCGGGGTTGGCGGAGCTTGGCTCCCAGAGACTTGCTGGAGTGTTCATTGGAGGCTTCTTGATGGGGACAGCTAGGGCCAGCCGGCCGCTGCCCCGCCCCTCTCTTCCACAAACCTCGTCGTCCTTCTGCGGCATATTTCTCTGTCTCCGTCCGTCGTCCCGCAGTCCCGTCGGTTGCTCCACCCTACGCCCCTCTCGAAGGACCACTGATCTGGGCCCCTCCGCCCCGCTCCACTTGGTAACCCTGCCTGGGGGATCGTTCTGCCGGCGCAGGCCTGCTGGGCGCCTCACCTGCTTGTCGGCCTCGAGGGCTCGGATTCGGGCTCTCCCCTGGTGGGCCCTCGAGTCCCCCATCGTCGCGCTCGCCGGCGAACCGCCGGCCACAGATCCCACTCACCTCCTGGCTCCAATGTGCTTTCCCGTCCCCCTTTTCGTGTCGTTCCCTTTTGCCGTTCCTCCTCGGGCCTACCCACCTAGGTTTTGGACGCAACTGGGCGGCTCCCACAACAGCTTCGCCCCCACGGGGCGAGACTGCTGACAAGGTAAATGCGCTCAGGAGGAAAAAGAGGCCGAATCTCATGAGAATGATGATCGTGAGAATGAGGATGATTTTTTCCAAACAATATGCTGATCAAGACTACGGTTGACCAAGCAAACATTACAAGCAATTGCACGGCCGCTTGTTTCCGACTGTCCCTGTTCAAGCCATCCAGAGACGATTGAAAAAGGTGGAGCAAGCTATTAGGACCGTCAAAATTGGCGTCTGCGCTGAGTGTTCTGCCAGCAATATGGTCACGTTGCGACGCCAGGTTCCTCCTTGTGTCCTCTCTGCTTGTGTCCATTCTTTTTTCAATCGCTAGATAGGCGCCCAGCGCTTTCTACAGGAAGACTTTTGCGTTTATTGTCAGACCTCAGGTTCCGATTCGATCCAGCACCGTTGGTTTTGTTCTCTTGGAGGCAGGCCGCCGCTATCTGCATTTTGATGTGTCCCATTGGTCGTTCAGCGACTTCTTGATTTGTCGTTTTCTCCAGCCCCTCCCACAAGGCCGCTTCACTCCATTTGGGTTTTGCTGCCACACAACCCATGTTTACTCAAGGCATCATAGCGATGGGAACAAGGTACTCTGGGCGTACGGGTCCCAGCTGCGTGGCGTACAGGAGTGAATGTAATATTTGTTACTTCGTCCGTTTGTTGTGCAAGGTTACGTGGTGATTCACGGAGCTTCGATCACAACCATGCCCACGCCGAACATTTTGCCCAGTCTTCCTTTCGTTGTCCTTCTCCTCTCTCCTTCTTCCTCGTCCTGATCCTTCTTGTGAATTTGGTGTGCGATTTTGCTGCACAAGGCAAGGATCCGCGCGCGGGCTCGCTCATTCCAGGTTGGTCTCCGCGTGGCTCCAGGCTTGCTTGGTGCAACTCGTGGGCACCATCTTTCGCGGGGGAGCGCGATGGCCCTGAAATAATCGAAAATAGTTGCAACACCAGTCGCGGTGCTTATGTCAGTATTCGTATCAGTGGCTGTGCCTTGTCGTGTAGCAGTAGCAGTCGTAGTTTTCGCCCTCGTATGCATAATCGTAGTAGTACTGATAGTGATGGTCATCGCCGTAGTCAAGGTAGTTGTGGTAGTGGTAGTGGTAGTAGTAGTAGTAGTAGTAGTAGTAGTAGTAGTAGTAGTAGTAGTAGAAGTAGTAAATATAAGTAGTAGTAGTAGTAGTAGTAGTAGTAGTAGTAGTAGTAGTAGTAGTAGTAGTAGTAGTAGTGTAGTAGTGTAGTAGTGTAGTAGTGTAGTAGTAGTAGTAGTAGTAGTAGTAGTAGTAGTAGTAGTAGTAGTAGTAGTAGTAGTAGTAGTAGTAGTAAGTATAAGTAGTAGTAGTAGTAGTAGTAGTAGTAGTAGTAGTAGTAGTAGTAGTAGTAGTAGTAGTAGTAGTAGTAGTAGTAGTAGTAGTAGTAGTAGTAGTAGTAGTAGTAGTAGTAGTAGTAGTAGTAGTAGTAGTAGTAGTAGTAGTAGTAGTAGTAGTAGTAGTAGTAGTAGTAGTAGTAGTAGTAGTAGTAGTAGTAGTAGTAGTAGTAGTAGTAGTAGTAGTAGTAGTAGTAGTAGTAGTAGTAGTAGTAGTAGTAGTAGTAGTAGTAGTAGTAGTAGTAGTAGTAGTAGTAGTAGTAGTAGTAGTAGTAGTAGTAGTAGTAGTAGTAGTAGTAGTAGTAGTAGTAGTAGTAGTAGTAGTAGTAGTAGTAGTAGTAGTAGTAGTAGTAGTAGTAGTAGTAGTAGTAGTAGTAGTAGTAGTAGTAGTAGTAGTAG